TATATATATATATATATATATATATATATATTACATATATGTATATAATAAACATATTATATATATTATATATATTATATATATTACATATATTATATATTATATATATGAATGTGTAAATATATGAGTATGTAAATATGCAAATATATAAATATATAAATATATATACTCGTATATTTGTATATATTTATATTTATGTATTTATATGTTTCCATATTTACATATTTATATATTTCTATAATTATATCTTTATATATTTGTATATTTATATATTCATATGTTTATCTATTTATGTATATAATATATATATAATATATACAATATATTATATATAATATATTGTACATATTATATATATTATGTATATCATATATATTAAACATATTACACATATTATATATATTATAAGTATAAATATATAAATATGTGAATGTATAAATGTATGAATATATGAATATATAAATGTGTAGGTATACAAATATATAAGTATATAAAGATATAATTATATATATTATATGTTTGTATAATATATATTATATGTATAATACATATCGTATATTATATATATTATACATATTATATACACTATACATATTGCATCTATTATATACATCATGTAGTCTTAAAATGGCTAGCTGAAGTCTTACTAACAAGTAGGGAGAGAGAAGGCTGGATCATGGATTGATGTCGACAAATATTAAAAAATAAACATGGTGATTACACGAGAATACTGGATTAAAGTATAACAACTATCCAGTAAGGGAAGTTGTGGTTTACAATGCCAGGTACTACAATGAGGCGAACGAACACGAGGGGAAAGAACAGCAACGTAAATCTGCAAGGGTAAGATAATGTGCCTTTTTTCAAGCTTAATCAGCATTAAACTGTTTTATCCATCCATTTTGATCATTTTCAGATAATAGAGCAAAAAGGTGACAGCTAAAAGGTGTGTAGAAAATTTTTTGTATCAAACAATTTGTCACCTTGTCAAGGTCCTAATAATACTTTTGAGAAACAACAACGAGAAGCATACCTTCCAGTAATAAGGGCTGCTTCTCAAAAGCGATGCTTGTAGAGGAGAGTGCAGGGAGAGCTAAGTAAGAACGCGGAGGAAAAGAGGGAAAGACGAGAGGATCGGGAACAATGAATAGTTGGAAAAAAAGAAATTAAACGTTCTCTGTGCGTAAGAAGAAAAGAGTATACCTATTTGAATATACGTACTCAATGACCAAATGATTAGGAAGTAAGTCCTTGATTTTTCGTTTCTTTGCTTGCTTAAGTTACAGTTCTTCTGTTCTTACTTTTGCTTCTATCAGAAAAAATTTTTATGTGTTTATTTAGACAACAGTCAATGAACTAAAACTAATTTTGGCCAGCTCAAGCCTTAATCGGTACGTAACAGTAACAAATGCTGGGGATCTGAAAAAAGTAAGCTTTAGCAAACTTGTTTCCGTCGGTCCTTCTAACTCTTTTCTAATTTTTTTTTTTTGCAGCAGAGTTAGTAAACCAGGGATCAGGTTATTCAAATAAGAACAGGGAAGCGAGAAAGAAAGAAAAAAAATAAAAATAAAAGACAGGAAGAAAAAAGTAAAAAAGTATCTCCCGGCAACTAAAATTATTTGCTGAGCACCCCCGACCATTGTTAATTTGTCTTTCTCACTTTTTTTTTCTTTAAATTCACCTAAAATGAAAATTCTCACACGTTTTTGCAGAACGATATGTGTTACAAAAGCATAAACCATATATACGTATTTATTAGTATAAATTAAAAATTGTACAAAAAAGCAACCCAATAATTGCACCGACTCTCTTCAACCCTTACGAACCATCTGAAAATTTTTGCACCGATCCCAAAACATCTTGTGCAGTACCCGCGATGCTTTCCTTTTCCTCCCTTCCTAATTCTAAATCTTTCTGCCTTTCTCCTCCTGTTCCTCTCCATTCCTTCGCTTCCCAATCCCTTTCTTCCTCAAAACTCCTTCTGCTGTTCCTCTCGTTTTTGTTGCCGCTGACGTCTACCCACCAACAAAACAATACTCGACTCGGCCGATAAAACATTAACCACTCTATTCCCTTCCTATTTTATTTCCTTCTCTGTTCCATCACTCATTTGTCGTAACAGCAACGATATAAGAAACATATAAACAAAACGTACAACCGAGACTCAAACAAGATAAATCATTTTTTCCCCTTATAAAAACTTTTTTTATTTATTTCATCAAATAACCTTGAACAATTGTTTGCAGGAGTGCAAGTAACCAAGGAAAGAAAAAAAGCAGGAAATTAGCAATTAATTAGACAAATAAATAACATAAGTAATTAATCGAAGAGCAAAGTTGTGCAATTGTTGACATGATCTTAAGTGGGTGAATCTTCAAATTGACAGAAAATTTGAAAAGATGAACAATATCAAAAAACAAAAAAAAAAAACATCTAAAACTACAAGAGAGCAAAAGAAGAATCAGAATTGTTTCTACACTTTTAAGTCTAAGCTTTCTTTAAAAAAAGCGTACTTATTTGAAAAAGTTATGGTTTATTGAAAACAAACCACAATGATCGTTTCCGAATTCAAAGATTGACCAGTTTAAAAGTAACGTTTTTACAGTTTTAAATTCCAATACAAAAAAAAAAAAAAAAAAAATTCATCA